GATTTCTCTCTGGTTCTTGGACCAGGTTGAGTCCCTGTTCTATTTCTGCTAATTTGAGCTTCATCATTTATTTTTTGCCCTTTGCTGTCTGACTCTCAGGTGTTTATTTGGTATTTCGTAGTATAACCAATAAGAACTGATATTTTTCCCCTAAGATAACAACATTGTAAGCACCCTTTAATAACCCCCTCACGTTTCTTGGAGAGGTGACTTGCCTGTCTTCTCAGAATATAAGAACAGATCATTACATCTGCTTTCTGGGCTTTAAAGAAGTAACACTTCCTTTCTCCTCGGGAGAAAAATTAATTGAAATGAATATGCAAACTTTTAAAATTTTTTGTAAATCGAAAGTAATCTTTTCACACTTAACAGCACTAAAGGCTGTGTATCATTACTCTGCATGTTTAGTTAAATGTGGCATATAAATGATTTGAAGGTTCTACTTGTAGAGAAAGATTTTTATATAATGTCTCCCTTGCATGACATTTGGTCCTGTTCAAAACGTCCCTGGAGACATTTGGTCCACGCCAAGAGGTCTTTGAAATTTCTTCCTTGATATGTACCATTATTGGCTAGGCTACCAAGGCAAGAAGGATTATTGGACCAATGAAACATGAATAGTATTTTTATTTACTGATTCTGTAAACCAAAAGTTTAACTAAACATTATGGGCTCTTTGAACCCAGAGATGTTTTCTAAGAGTGGTCGTTTTTGACAGGACCATTTGGCCTGGACCAGATACACTCATGGATGTTTTCGATTGTTCTAGAAGGTGTTCCTTTTTTGACTCTATGGGTTAAATGCCTTTGACAGTTGAAGTGCTAACAAATGTGTCATTAGAATATATCTTCTGTGCTCATTAAGGTGTTATGGTTAAGGTGCATCTTTTATTATATAGAAGGATAGAAAATTATTCAATTTAGCGGTGTCCTTATCTTCTAACATTACTGTGTAGATTTATTGTATTTTATTGTAATCCTTTAAAAGCTCCTTTCTTTAAAATAACTTTTGTGAGAACTGTAGGTTAACCATACTTTTGAGAATATAAAAACGCTTTGATAATGCTTTAGTTTTCTCTAGACTTCCATATTAGTTATAGAAATATATGTGCACTGTAAAAATTGAAAACATTACAGTTTATAATGAAAAAGCATTGGCCCCCATTAACAATATTCCCTTTATTGTTTGTTTTATGCTTATTTTTCATTATTTCCCTTGAAATTATTTTTATATGTATTTTTAACCATCAGTTAAATAGGAAAATACCCTTGAAATGGTGGATGCCAGGCCCTATAACTCTAACCTTTATGGCTTTTAACTCCTTACTTTATGCCATTTGGTTGTCTCCTGCTCTCACCCCAACTGGGGTGGAGCCTGCAGCCGAGGTACGTGCCCTTGGCCAGAATGGAACCGGAACCCTTCAGTTCACGGGCCGACGCTCTAACCACTGAGCCAGACTGGCCAGGGCTGGCATTTCTTTTCTTACAGTTGATGGTGTCCAGCCCTTTAGAAGGTGTAGTGTCTTCTCCCAATCAAAATACTCAGGCCTCAGGTGGCCTACCTTGCTGTGCAGACACTGTCCTGTTCAACAGCTCCTCCCAGGAACCCACTGCTGAGAAATAAATGTTCCTTGTGGCGGTGCTCCCCACTTGGGTTGTGATGTGCAGCTCATTCCTTTAGTCGGAAGGGTTGTGAAAGAGCGGGCTGGGGAGAAGCAAGTCAAAGGAACCGGGCGTGGTTCCCTTCATTTTCTCCCATGTTGGACAGAGTACCATACTCTCGAGGATCTGGGAGCATTGGTTTTGACCCGGCCCTGCGTTCAAGCATAAACTCGGTACCATGTACTGTTAGGTGTTAGATAAGGACTTGTGGTCCTCTGTGTGTGAGATTTTTTCCCACGTTGCTTAGCCGCTTTTCTCTTGTAATACGCTGTTTCAGGGCTACATCCGAATATTTACCTTGAAGGTTGTGTTGGTTAATTGAGTATAAATGAGTTAAAGAGTATTTCCACTGGCTACTACTGTGTACAATTGTAGATTAAAGAAACAACTTGACCGTTGTCTGTAGTACCAGTCTTTGGAGGAAGCCTGTCTCTCTGCGCTTTTGGTTTTATAGTAAGAGCTGCTTGGAGTCTTTGGAAAGAAGACGCCCCAGGAAACAGAAGACAGGGAGCGTGTGTTGTGTCTGTGCCGCCGCTGCGGGGC